GCTGAAATAATTATGAGATAGTACCACTGTGGCTGAAAAGATTAATATTTTTCATGTTCCCTTGTATAAAAATTTGCATCCATCAGTGGAAAAAAGTTCAGCCTAGTCCTTCATATCCTATATTTTTTTTCATTTTCAGTGAATTATCAATCCAGGGAAACGGTGAACAATGTGGATCTTCCCCTGTAGTCTGAAGTGGTATGCTCTATTCTACCACCTCAGCACTCTGCCTCATTCTGCTGCCCCTGTACACCCAATCTGAGTCACCTTGGGTCAATCACCAGCTCTCAGCTTATTCCACCTCTCAATGTGGTTGTGAGGTTAGAATTCAATAACCCACATGCAGGGCCCACAACAAGTGCCTCTGTGCTCTCCTCTAATCTTCTGAGACTTCCAGATATCATGAGACTTCAGTTTCTAGGCAACTGCTGATCTACTGGGCAGTAAACCCTACACAAACCTCCACTGACCAAGTGATTGTGCTTTGTGGCTTTACATCAAGCAAAGTTCAGACTTCAAGGGCTCACATCAGGTGGTCTAGGGATGCCAACCAATGACTGGCAGCCCCAGAGAACTTTGGTGGGGGGCATTGCACAATGCCATGCAATACTGTGATGTGGTTGCATTCCAGAAGTAATATCATGCATTGTTGAGACAATCCAGAAATTCCCCCCCAAACTCTATGGTTTTATCAGAGGGATTTGGGAGATTACTAGGATGTCATAAGAAGAGCCCTGATGGATCAGACCAATGGTCCCTCTAGGCCAGCATCCTTTCTCACACAGTGGCCAACCAGTTGCCTCCCCTCTCTGGGATTCAGAGGCTTAGTGCCTCTGAATGTGGAGGTTCCCCTCAGTCACCATGGCTAGTAGCCATTGATAGACACATTCTCCACGAATCTGTCTAATCCCCTTTTAAAGCTGGTTATTCCTGTGGCCATCACTACATCCTCTGGCAGCAAATTCCATATTTTAATCATTTTCTGTATAAGGTAGTATTTCCTTTTGTCCATCCTGAATGACGTGTGATGTTGCTTCTGTTTGTGCAACTTGAAGTGACATCACTATTTATTAAATTTCTAGCCCACCCTCCCCTGCATGGCAGGGCTCAGGGCGGGTGACAACAATCCAGTAATCACAGTAGAACAATATAATACAATATAATAAATTAGGATAAACAATCAACAATGTTTCTTTCATAATGGCACTTCCATTTTCTCCACTGCCGCACCAGAGGGCAGCAGGCAGCCAGAGGCAGAAGAAAGGAGATCTCCCTCTATAGCAGGAGATTTGGTCCCCCTATGTAGTGCCCACTGCCAATGGCAGCCACTGAACAGACCAAAACACCCGGGTAATTGTGTGCTTCCTTTGGGGAACCTGAGATCTAGAGAACAGAGCCCCCAAAAGTCACTCCACTTCCCTCTCCTTCCCCAAGTGATGGCTCTGCCCACATGTAAACTCTGTGGGTTCCTTGGAGGAGGAGAGAAAATAGGAAAGTCACATGCCTGCTCAGTTCTGATACTTAGAATTGTGGCCATTTTGTTCTGAATCAAAAAGAACCGGCACAGGCTGCAAAGGCTGACCGCTATTCCCAAGGCAAGTTCACAGCACAGTGGTTTATGCTATGGCTAGAATGCACTTGGATCACTCTGCCCAGAAAAATGGAATGCACTCAGGGGTCGTTTCATAGAAAAAGAGCTAGGGGAACTCATTAGCATAACTCATTAGCATATGCCACACCCCGACATCACCGGAAGTGTGTCATAAGGCTACACCCCCTGACATCACCGGACGTGTGTCATAAGGCCACACACCCCGCCCCCAATGGTCCCGGCCGCCGCCACCGGCCTTGCAGCTCCACTGCCGAGCCCCATGAGGGGCCCGGTGGTGGACCTGCAAGGCCGGCGGGAGTGCAAGGAAGCCCCGCGAAGGCCCTCCCTGGCCCCAGGCAGGCAGGGGTGGGGAGCAGCAGGGAGGAAGCAACTTACCCTCCCTCTTCTCCTACCTCCTCCTGGCTGAATGAGGGCCGGAAGCGGGGGGGCTTCGTCATGTGCCCCGCCCTCCGTACTTCACCCGGGGGAACTGCGATCCCCCGCGATTCCCCCCGAAATGACCTCTGAATGCACTATATATTGGGCTAGACCATTCATCTCTTTGTGGTGCTGAAACAATATAACTTCTGGATAGGAATCTTTTAAAAAAAAAATAGTTTGGTTATCATCCAGAATAAGTTAACATCCAGAATTCAGCATTATGGCTCTCTTATAATGTCTGGTTTGCAGACTGATTTGCTGACCCCTGCGGGAACAGCTCGGAGAGCACAATGTATCAACATAAAGCAACCTCCGTGCTCAAATTTATCCTAGAAATAATTTGAGAACATTTATATGTGAGTAAAAAGAGAGAGGGGAATATCCGAGAGAGCCTGACACTGTAATGTCGATGAAATACGACTTCAGAGCCATGGAAAATATGGAAGAGATGTGCACTGATTTGGGCAGTAGTGGGTAGTTAGATTTTACGATCCCTTGAAATGTGATGATATCCTTCCCATGTGGGCAAGCCTGCTTGCTGGGTTGATGGCTGGCAAAAGTGAGCCTCCAGTGAGCATACTCATTTTAAAGATTGTAATCTTCGAAAGTATTAACAACTAAGAAACATTCCTTTTTGTTAAAGCTTTTTTTAAAAAAAACTGCTAATGTGATATAATAATTATGTAGCTGGATATATACCCCATTGGCACCGTCAGCAGGACTGAATGCTCTTTTCCTGAGAGCTAGATAAACTCGACTGCCATTCCACCCTTTTTTGCCCGCTTTGTTTCCTTCCTCCCTCCCTTCTTTCCAGAGAGCATCACTTTCTGCACTGGAATGGTCAGAGCAGCAGATCAGGAAAGCTGCCAGTCTGGAAGAACTCCTTCGGATTACCCACTCTGAGGACTGGAAGCTGTGGAAGTGCCGTCTAAAACTCAAGAGCGTGGCCACCCTGGACTCCAGATCTGCATCGCATCGCTCCACGAGATTCGCTGCAGCTTTTTATGATATAGAGATACTCAAAGGCAGGTGGAAAGTTTATGAACTTCAGAGTTCCTTGTCTTCAACATGCATTCATAGGAATTAAACACACTGCTATTTCTTATTTTAATGATAAATACCTGAGATGATGCTTGGGGTTTATTTCTGGGTCTGACATATAGACAAATTTGCTGAGCTTTTGTCTCTTGTTTATTGGTTTGTTTACAACAGGGCGCTCTTGAATGATACAAGCGTGGAGCTTTCAGGCTTCAAATAATGTTTTAAAAGAAAAAGGGGGTATTTTTAAATGGCAAAAAAATGTGACAGGTAGTGTAAAATCCACTGTAGTGTAAAAGCCACAGGTATCATTCAACAGATGTCCACCCAGCACCCACAGACACAGCTGCTGGGTTTGCTAGGGGACAGTGGCATTTCTTCAGCTAACCATTGCAGGGTCGGGGGACAGGGGGACGGGAGGGCAGTACAGTGGCAGGAGCACAAACAGGCACATACATACATTGGTGAAAACATGACCACAGCTTTTTTTAAAATTGGATACAGCTGAAAAGAATATTGGCCTAGCATGGGGACAGATCCAGCATTAGGCGACCCGCCTGCTGCCCTATAACCACCAGCCCACCTTAGGGGGGGATGACACCAGGGGTGGCAAGACCTCTGGATCCATGTTGGTGCCAGCAGCTTCATGGTCCCCTTGCCACCTGGTGGTGGAAGCCAGCTGGCAGCCCTCGACTGGCAAAGTGGCTGATAGGCTTCACCCCCAAGACCCCTTAAGGGAGTCCCCACACTGGGGGGGGGAGATATGCAGGCTCGGCCTCCCCCCCCCAGGATCTGTTCCCAATGCCCAAACTGCCACAGAGTGGGATAGCCCCACACTCCACTCCCGCCAGTGGTCCTAATCCTGCAACTAATTCAAAAGCCCATCACAAATACTATGGAGCCAGATGTTTCATCTCCCATTCCGAAAGGTGCCCTCCATCTGCCCCAAAGAGGGCTGTTTGCCTAAACATTATGTCCTGGTGTCAAAGAATACATCCTCCCAAAGTCTCTATGACTCGACACAGGTTTGCAGACCTTCTTTCTGGCTAAATCAACTGAAATCGCACCACACCATTCCCAAAATTCCAGCAGACCAAACCATAGTCGCATTTTCCCTGGGAGCCTGGAGTGAAGGATCTCAAGATCAGTGTCTGTCCTTGCCTGTACAACTCCTTTCTGGGCGGGAAGGTCGTTCTTGCTGAGCTGGAGGAGGATGGCGTCTGGAGGACCTTGTTGGAACGCTCTGCTCGAGATGGTCGAAAGGAGGGCTGGCCAGTGCATTCCTCTGTGCCCTGCAAAGAAATGTCACACAGTGCTAAAATGTGACCCTTTTTGTTCTGGCGTGAGGTTGCCAGGAGCTCATTACTGCGAAAAGCCCCCCCAAAAGGCCAAAGTAAAGGTGGCCCAGATGAGAGTAGTCTTATAGGCAGAAAAACATTTGTGGGGGAGCTGATGCATAAAACCGCGTAGCAGCTGTAGAGTGATGAGCCTGTGAGCATCTGGCATACAAGGACAGGACCTCTTCCAACCCTTGATGGCATCTCGGGAAAGAAAGAAACAGTTGGGTTTGGGGTGCCCCATTGTTTTACAGTAAATGGAAATGATCAAAAGATGGGTGCCCATTGTCCTAGGAGTGAACTCCCACTCCTTAGGAAACATGAGGTAGCGAAGGACCAGCACCTCCAGGATTGGCCTAGTGCCGTCAGCTCCCAGCAATTCAAAAAATGACAGGAAAGAGAAGACAGTGCACCTGTGTGACTGGCAGGTAGAGGGGGCAATAGATCCAAGGACTCCCTGCATAACCATACATTGCCAAGTGTCCGTAGGTCCTCTGGGAAGCAGTCTGACTGTTGTCTTGTGTGTGGGGCCACGGTCTGAAATCTTTCCTGGTAAAAGGGATGTGAAACCCTTTGCTAAAGCCATCAAATAGATAGGACATACCCAGGCATTTGAAGCCCTCTTGGCAGAGGCAGTGGCTGAGGTCCCGGCAGCACCCAGCCTTCTTACTGCCAGAATTGCTGGAGGGCCAGGATCCCCAGAAGGGCTGCTGTGAGCCCCCACCTCCAGGGCAGGGTGGCCTGGGTTGAGGACCGAAACATGTGTCGCAGTTGTGCTCAAACTTGCAATGTATGCTCTGGCATCTGCCCGTTATGTGATATGATATAATATGATATTCCCAGCAAACATGCCAGGTGGTTTCTTGCCGAAAAGCCATTTTAGCTTTGCTAGAGTAAGACCAAGTTTTTAGGTGAGGTCCGACCATCAGCAACCAAATTTTGTAACTGAGAAGATCCCAACGATAGAGCTCATTTCTAAAGGCCTCATCATAGTCTATGGCTGGGGTATCCCCTGCAAGCACCCAAGCTTTGAGAACATTATCCATGTGGTTGGCCTGATGCCAACCGCACTCTGGGTAGGCAGATGATACCAGGCTCCAATGAAGTGTATAACCTGTCATCCAGTTCTGAAAGGTACAGTTATTGCTGCCCTTGGGGGGACCCCTTCTTGTCATGGCAAGGGCCTGTTTTTCCAGCATTGCCTTTGAGCTTAAGGAGTGCAAATATACCCACAAAGAATCCATCAGGACATAGTCACAGAGCTTACGTAGCAGATGGATACCAGGTGGGGCCTCAAACTCTCTGTAAGGGTGAAACACAGGGGCCCCCTGGGAATTCTGGGTACCCCAAACACCTGAGAAACTCTGTTCACCCTCCAACTTGCACCTCTGTAGCCAAGGCACCCTGGCAGGGGCCCGGGTATCAGTCCTGGTGGACGCAGCAGAATCTCTGGTTCGGTGGGACAAGACCTAGTGCCATAAGGAGCACTTCTGAGAGAGGAGCCTTTTTCGGATGGGGCCAGCAGTGCAGCCCAGGCCCTTCATCAACCAACAATTAATACCACAGTAAAGTAAGCACATGCACTTTTATACACTCCTCACCGAATATGGGTCACGGGTCAGATTCTGGCATGTGGTAAGCCCCAGTTAGAAGCCCCCCGGAACAGCTGACTACAATTGAGAGGGGAGGTTGTTGCACACACACACCCAGGCTGAGCAGGTCAGGCTAGAGCAGAAGTGATCCCCCTCTAAAAAGGCACTCAGGCCAGGCACAACCTGCCTGAGGCTGGAGCAAAACCACCAAAGAGCTAAGCTGCGGAGCTCACTTCACCCTGGTACCGTTGGGCCCTGCAGATGGCGAACCCCCCTGCAGACTGCACCCTTCTTCTGGTGAAGGCCTCAATGCTACATGATCAGACGTGGCAGAACCCCAGCAGAACTTTGGAGTTCAAACAAGAAGATTGCAGGACACTGCCAAGAAAATGGCAGGCTATCGAGTCGCTCCAAATTAAAGCGACAGAAGATCCACCACTACCTGTAACACATGGCTGCCAATCAGCTGGCATAGCCCTTTAAACCAGTCCTATGTGGCTGCAAAGCAGTGCAACCGTGTATTTTGAAAAGATAGTCGGTGCACCACGGTCAGCTGTAGCACAGGGCATGTGGCCGCCTACCAGCTGGAGCACCACAAAGAGCACCACACAGAGAGCCAGTCTGGTGTAGTGGTTAAGTGTGTGGACACTGGACTCTAATCTGGGAGAACCAAGTTTGATTCCCCACTCCTCCACTTGCACCTGGCTGGATGACCTTGGGCAAGTCGTAGTTCTGATAAGAGCTGTTCTCTCAGCCCCACCTACCTCACAGGGTGTCTGTTGTGGGGAGGGGAAGGGAAAGGAGTTTGTAAGCGGCTCTGAGACTACTTTCGGTAGTGAAGGGCGGGCTATAAATCCAATCTCCTCCTCCTCTTCTTCTTTTTCGTGACTGAAGAACCTGAAGCCCAGTGAAGAGGAGGAGATGGGATTTATACCCCGCCCTTCACTACTCAAAGGTGACTCTGAGCGGCTTACAAACTCCCTTCCCCTCCCCACAACAGACACCCTGTGAGGTAGGTGGGGCTGAGAGAGCTCTTGACAGAAACTGCTCTTTTTCAAGAACAGCTGTGCCAGAACTATGGCTTGCCCCAGATCATCCAGCAGCTGCAAGTGGAGACTCAAATCTGGTTCTCCCAGATTAGAGTCCGCGCACTTAACCGCTACACCAAACTGGCTCTGCCTTGCTGCTTGATGAGCATGAGGGACTCTTGAATGCTGCAAACACTGAGAAAACTGAGGGAGAGAGATAGCCTCAGCTCAAGTTTAAATAGCCACAGTGGGCAGCGTTACCCCACCCCTCGGGGTGGCACCAGCTGACAAAGGCCAGCCAGCCTATCCTGCGGCTGATCCTGCCTTCCATCAACCCTGCAGGCAGCATCACACTGCCAGACATCCTTCTTATGCCTTGCCCTTCCCCCTGACCAGCAAATGGGCCATGCTCAGGTAAGTCTGCACTGCACAACAGTGAAATTTGTTGTTGGGAACATCTGACATCCCACTGACGGATCACCAGCAAAAAAGAAGAACTGTGCATTTATTGCATGGCTGGCAGTGCCATTCCAAGCGGAGTCACACCCTTCTAAGTCCCTTGGAGTCAGTAGGATTAGGAGGTCAAATGCTTGTTTAGGACGGCACTCTAAAACACTGACCTGGAAAGTCTCATAAGATTAAGCACACTGAGCCCTGACCTGGATAGCCCAGGCAAGCCCAGTCTCATCAGGTCTCAGAAGCTAAGCAAGTATTTGGATGGGAGACCTCTAAAGAATACCAAGGTTGGGAGGCAGAGGTAGGCCATCAAGCCACTTCTCTGAACATCCTCCATGCCCCAGTAGGAGTTGCCAGAGGTCACCATGACTTCCAGGCATGGGCACACACATGCATACAAATGCAAAAATATACACACAAAGAATAAGAGCACTGAGATTTATTTTTACAAAAAAATAATGAAAAAGGTCTGGTGCAGGGTGGAGTAGTGAGTTCATATTTCTGCTGAGAGTCAGACATATGTGAAACTCATTCTGAGAAGGAATTTGAATTTCAAGAATCTGATGCCCATCCTATATCTGCACATTATAGTATGGGCAGTGCCCCATATTGACAGATACCCACTGAAGTGAGAAAAACAGGATTATGTTGACAAAAGGCTTCTGAACCAGATCAAAGTTCTATGGGTTTTATGGTCAAAGCTTTTTTTTTTGGCTCACTCATCAGAATCCAAAGGATATTTTCTTTAAATAGGGATTTTTCCACTAAAAAAGAGTAAACATGCCATGTAGTTATCTGAAGAATCTGCCAACAGCAGCACGCAAACACACAGAACTTGCCAACAGCTCTGAAATAAATAAGCTGTAAAACAAACATTTAAATTCCTATTTTTATGAGGAGTGTCCTGATATAAAACACCTCATTATCTTGGACATTGCTGGGCGGGAACCATCTAGAGGATGTAGAGCCCAGAACTGTGAAAAGAATAATGTCTTCGATCCAGTTCACAGATCAGTGATCGGCTATGGTAGCGCCTTCCCTGTGACTAGGGCCTAGGGGTGCCATTGAAGCTGCCAACTGCTACATATCAGGCCTTTTGCGAAGACAGGCTGGGCCAGTAGTGTTATACCTGGCTTGTGATCACCCCCAGCTGGACCACTTGTCACACTAGCCTCATTTAACAAAAGACGGCAGTGTGTGAACCTGGCAGTTCATGAGGTAATTCCTACAGAGATCCTGTACCTGCATATGGGCTGGCAATACTGACAAGGGAATTTCTTACACAGTTTTGGTTCTGTTTGGGTTCCACAGGCTTCACTGTAAGATACAAAAAGGTTAAGGAGGAAAACTGCATTACTGTATTAGCTGTAGAGATTAATTTGCAAATCTTAAAACAGTATTGTTTATATTATAAATGGCAAGGCTTGTGTTGGTGCAATGTCTTTTCGAATACAATTGTAGCAGGCTCAGTGGGATGCTAATGAAAGTGTGAATCCAGTTGTGTGAATCCACTTTTAGAACCACTGTGTATTCTCCAGTTATAGATGAGGAGTGGCAGAGAACTCAGTGTGTGCCAAGGGAGACCTGCGTAGAAGTTGCAAAGGAGCTGGGAACCACCACCAACAAATTCTTCAAGCCTCCTTGTGTGAACGTCTACAGATGTGGCGGCTGCTGCAATGAAGAGAGCCTGAGCTGCATGAACACCAGTACATCTTATGTTTCCAAAATGGTACTCAGACCTTTCCCAATTCTTCTATGATTGTAGCACTTTGACTGAAAGGAAACATGAGGCTCAAAGAAGCATGCCATGCCTCAAGGGGGATTTGAATTTGATAAATAACTTAGAATACACGATTGTTATACGTTTTATTATTTCACTGATTTTGCATTTCTATAACACTTTTGCTCACAAACACCTTCTGTGGAGAATTATTACTGTTACAACTGGGTAATAGAAGCTAGGAGATAGGGACTTGCTCAAGACAACACAAGGTGGCCATGGCTTATCAGCCATATTCACATGAGTGTTTGTAGCATTAAACATAGTAAACTATAAAGGGCAGACATATGTCTTTAACTTGTTAAGAACATGTGGGAGAGGCACACCAGATAGTTTTGGCTGACTGCAATTTCCCAGAAGCTTAAGTCTCTATTGCATAAAGTTGCCTGGCAACTGGTGGGAGGTTCGGGGGTTGAGAACATGGGGGCCACAACCAGTATTCCCTCTATTCCCCCCCCCCCCCACTGAGTGTAGCAGTTTACATCCTGAGCAGAATATAACTGTGGTAATCTTAAACTGGGCAATGGGCAGTGTGTGGCTCCAGACTGCTGCTGAGCGGGGCTTCCTCTGTTACAATTTAGAGGGAACATTGACCACAACATCCTGTGCAGTGCTAGGTCATTTCTGGGGAAACTTGGAAGTGACATAGTGTAGCTAGGAATCTTTGGAAATGCTATGGTTTTATCAGAGAGAAGAGAATATCTGAAAAAGCCCGATAGTATGAAGCTGATGGAATACCACTTCAAGGCCATAAACATATGAATGAAATGTGCACTGATTTGGGCAGTAATTGGCAGTTACGTTTATGATAACTTGAAACATCATGAGATCCTTTCCATGTTGACAGTCCTACTCTGGCTTGTATCCTAGTGTTTGCAGCACTAAACAGTAAATAGGGATGGGCACAAACCGGAAAAATGCAGTTTGTGAGTTTGTAGCCAAACCACGATACAGATCACAAACCTAACCAATCTGGGAGGTTCACTTGTGCAGTCTCTTTAAATGGGGTTTACAGAAAGTTTTTGTGCGGAACAGAAAGCAGGAGTTTAAAGGGACTCAGAGCTTTCTGCTCTATCCACGAACCACCACAAATTGCCACAAATGGCTTTAAAGAAGAAGAAGAAGAGAAGAGATTGGATTTATACCCCGCCCTTCACTACCCAAAGGTGTCTCAGAGCGGCTTACAAACTCCTTCCCCTTCCCCTCCCCACAACAGACATCCTGTGAGGTAGGTGGGGCTGAGAGAACTCTAACAGAAACTGCTCTTTTTCAAGAACAGCTGTGCCAGAGTTATGGCTTGCCCAAGGTCATCCAGCCAGGTGCAAGTGGAGGAGTGGGGAATCAAACCCGGTTCTCCCAGATTAGAGTCTGCGCACTTAACCACTACACCAAACTGGCTCTCTGGCTAAAGTGAAAGTTCATGATGGTAGACCCATCACGAACTTCAGTTTTGCAAACCACTAACAGAGTAGAATTCATGATGAATTTTGCTTTGTGGTTCAGTTTGTGCCCATCCCTAATAGTAAACTGTATGTTTACTGTGTGTTTACTGTATGTTAAGAACACGTGAAAGAGGCACAGCAGGCAGCTGTGGTTGATTGCTGCGGCTCAAGTCTTTATTACCTCGCAACTGATGGGTGGTTCAGGGGTTGGACAATGGGGGGCCATGATGTGCAGTTTGCCACTGCATCCCTTATGGGGAGAACCTGGAACTGTTGTAGGGTAGCTCTAGGAATTCCTGGAAATTCTATGGAAAACCAAAGGGTTTCCAGTGATTCCTAGAACTACCCTCTGTTATGCTCAAGTTTCCCCTGGAAGTGACTTAGCAGTTTTAAAATAGTTTTAAAACTATTAAAATAGTTTTAAAACCTGGGAGTGACTTAGCAGTTTTAAAACCACCACTTGGAGCAGTGAAGGGCAGGAACACCTGCTGGTAGAAGGCCTTCCTCCATGGCTTGTCTCCAGTAGTTTTTCTAAAAGCACTCATAACCACTTAATAAGAGACACAGGTCTCAATTTGCCTTATCCAAAGTTGAAAGATGTATGTTTTGAGGAGTGGGTGGACTAATAACTGAATTAGTAATAGAAATTAATACTGTGTTTCAACTTTCTAGCTTTTTGAAATTTCAGTACCTTTAACAAATGTGCCTGACCCAATTCAAGTAAAAATTGCAAACCACACAGATTGTAAGTGTATATCAAATGGTCAGCATCAACCATATTCCATCATAAGAAGATCTGTCCCGTATTCAGAGGAGGATCGGTAAGAAAGATAGTCTCTTCCCCCTCTTTCTCTCCCTGCGTTTATGTCCCTATTTCTTAAAAAGAAAAATTAACCATGACACTTTTCTAGGATTATCCATGCATTATGTGAAGACTACTGCATCCTTAATATTGTGTGATGTAGTATGTATTTTTGAAACAGATAAATGTGTTAAGATTACTTAGACAATGTAAAATATGTTACATTATATAAGGACAGTCTCTTTTTGCAGCCGTTTTTAATTACTATGGCATCTTAAATATTTGCAAAAGAAAAAAAACCCTCATTTGACGTAGACAGCTGTGGCAAATTAAGAAACAGCAGGCAGAAAGAATGTCATTTGTGGTCCTAGCTTAATTCCTTCGCAAATGTGATTTCCTGAATTATTCCTTTGAAGATAATGAGGCTTTTTGTTGAATGATTTTAACATTAGACATGTTTTATGTTGCATCTAAATATAGAAGTCTGTCAACAAACTCTGAACCGATTCACAGAACTGACCATCAGTTCGCTTCCTTTAATTAGCCAACATTTTTATTTCTTTTAATTGTTCACTTCATTTATACCCCCCTTTCTCCCCAATGAGACCTAAGGTGACTTACATAACTCTCCTCTCATCCATTGTATCCTCACAACAACCCTGTGAGGTAAGTTAGGCTGAGAGTTTGTGACTGGCCCAAGGTCACCCAGCAAGCTTCCACGGCAGAGTGGAGATTCAAACCTGGTTCTCACAGATCCTAGTCTGATGCTCTAACCACTGCATCTTACTGGCTGGCTGAATCAGTTGGCTCTTGTTTGTTACCTTATTTATATCTGATTTACTTTCTTAAGATTTTCTTAAAATCTGCATTTTGTTTCCTCCTAGTTGTTCTCATTTAAAAAAACTGTGTCACAATGGCTGGATATGGGACATCAATAAATGTGAATGTGTTCAAAATGAGGATCATCCTAGCAGAAGAGAAGGTAAACATACTCTATTGCTAACAACTGAACAGCCTAAATCTTGTGAAGTGCAGCAAAACTATTGCATGTAACCTTTTAGACTCCTCCCCCCCACCCACCCAGTGGTTCTTCCCTATCACACAGGCTTATTTCACAAGAATTACATTACCTATATCCATGAAGTAAAGGATTAGAAAGTTTGGGTCATGAATGTGTTAACTGAAATATGGGTTTGTTCGCTTTTTGTTTGCTTTTACCCTAGACAGCTGTAAGAATCAGAAGTGGAAATTTATGCAGGAGAGGGGATGCTTATCTTTTCCCCCCTGAAGTTAATTCTTCTCACCCTTCAAGTTGCTTTGTGCCCTGTGAAAATAATCCTATCTTCACCCTCATAAGATGAAAACCACCTTAGAGGGAACAGTTTTGATAAGAAAAATGGCTTTCAGGGGAAAAGATAAGGACTTTATTCTGCTAATGGAGGGCATAACTATGGGGACAAAATCATTGGGGTCCTGGTCACCCTAGCTGCCAAATAATGTCATTTGTTTTCTAGGATGTTTGGTGTTAAGAGGGGAACCAGAATAATTATTTATCAAGTGACCCATGATGGTTCTCAGCAGCCCTGCTCTGCCTCCCCTTTACCCTTTAGCCGCCCTGAGCCTTTGGGAGGGCGAGATACAAATCAAATAAATAAATAAATACCCCAGACTGTAGTTTCCCACAGTCATTTTAGTTAAAGAGAAAGAGATCTGGGAAAATATTTGTGCGCTTGAAGTTCATATATAATTTAACCCTATATTTTACATTTATGTATGGTTTTCTTCACATAGTGTTTCCAACTGTCCAGGGGTCATTTCGTAGAAAAAGAGGTCCCGGAGCTCATTAGCATAACTCATTAGCATAACTTATTTGCATATGCCACACCCCCTGACATCACCGGATGTGTGTCAGAAAGCAACACCCACCGCTCAGGCTCCACTGGACTGTTTTGGATTGCTAGCTATGGGGGGGGGGCGTGCAGATCTGTCCCCGCAGAGGAGGGAGAGCTTGTGCCTGAATAAAACTTGGTCTTAAAGGTGCCACTGGACTGTTTTGGACCGGGGGGCCGGGGGGGGGCTCTGCAACTTCCTGGCTGCTTCTTGCTCTGCCTGAGGGCTGCTGGGAGCAGGGGGTGGGGCTTGTTGCATGTGCCCGCCCCCTGGGCTCTTTACTGCCGGAGCTCCACTCCTGTGCGCTCCTGCAGGAAATGACCCCTGGTAACAACCAAGGTGATTTTAGCACCAACTGTGAAAACATACAATTAAAGTCTAGATCAATAGATTATCTTGCCCTAACAATTTTTTCCAATGTAGTTACTCATTTTATTATCATTAATTATATCTTGCACAAGGCTGCTGAGAGAAACAGTCTTTGGGACAAACTAGACATATGGATCCCATATACTGCTGTCAATTATTCCTTCCTTTGAAGGAAGCAGTGTATGGCAACGCTTTTCTTTTCCTCCTCTCCCACAATGTGCTCCTCTGATGACCTCGCCCACTTCACTCCCTCATATGTTTTAAGCAACTGAGAGTTTCTTAAGGTTTTCATAGTGACTTAGAATCTTTAAGATGAGAGGCTTTTGTTTCAGTGTTAAGACAAGTAGAAATTTCTGGGTGAAGTTTCCTCCACAACTTCTACCTGCTGGAAAAAGCTGTGCTTGTATAATTTATGCCTATCATATAAAATACAGGAGGCATAAAGAGGAAAGCTGGCTACATAGTCTGAATAAGAACTTTAAAGGCCTTATTAGACCCATCCTCCAAAAAATCCCAGGAAAATGGGAAGAATGGTATACTTCTTTTCTTCTTGCAGACCTTGAATCTGAAACGTCAGACAGAGTTTCCAGATTCTGTGCAGCTTCCAGAGTCTACCAATGTACAGTGTTGATTCAGTGACACATATTTGCTTTTTAATATATATTTTAATGGAAAGGTTTGGCGCCAGACCAAGAAAGTAAAATTATAAAAGCTACTTCCTATTATTTATCTGGGTCAGAGAAGAGATGAAGTCTATTACATTTTGTTCTGGAGAAAATAAACCAGCTCCATGGCAACTACCTTAAGTCTAAATCCTTTTGACCTGGATAAATGTGCAAGTGTTTATTCTTACTCATTTATATAGTCACTTTATTATTTATATTGCAAATGGAAATTTGGACCAGCTCATATGAGAATGTCATAAAACTGGAAGGGGTGGACATAGAAAGGGATTTTTCCCTTTCTCAGTAATTTTCTATTCTGCAGCAAAATAATAGATCTGCCAAATGGGTAGTAAAAACATGCAGCAACCATCTGTCTCCACTACTAATGTCTTTTTGACAGATGCCCTCCTGAAGTAGGCATCTTGAGACCGCTGGCTAAAAATTTTTTTCCAGGACCCGGTCTAATGATATTTCTGTTAGGCAGTTGTTAGTATCCCTGTGGATTCAAGCAGGTGGTGCAGCCATGGACCTTTCTGGTATGGATTATATAGACACAATTCATTCTGGCTTCAGATCCAGTTTTGGGATTGAAACTGCCTTGCTCACATTGGTACATGATCAATGCTAGGAGATAGACCCGGGAAGTGCAATCTTGTTGGTTTTCATGCACACCATAGCAACTCTGAGTAAAATTGACCATGAATTTATTACATAGTGGGATCAGGACTTGGAAGAACTGTGCTCCCACAGCCACACTATGGCAGGTGCATTTCAGGCACTCTGTGCTGAAGGACTGTGGTATGGCATTTATGCTATGGCGTTCCACAGGGCTCCATTTTCTCCTGCTGGAAAAGGACATCTAGAGATTGTGGGGGAAGTATTTTCAATTAATTAATTATTGTATGGCATTGTATGTAGAATACCCAGGAGATCCTAAGACTGTCTGGCAGCCAGACGTTCAAGCTCTTTTAGCATTATGCACCACTAAGTGGCAAGCTAGACTTGTTTTTAAGGCAAGAGATGTTTCAGAGGTGGTTTTCCATTTCCTGCCTCTGCATCATTACCCTGGTATTCCTTGGAGGTCACCCTTCCAAATACTAGCCAAGGCCAACTTTGCTTCGCTTCCGAGATCGGACAGGATCGGGCTAGCCTGGCTTATCCAAGTCAGTTATCTTCAATAAGTGGATAATACCCACTGATGTTTCTTCTTTTCATTTAATCTCAGTAAGGCAGTGAAGCTTTGATCTGGATGGCCCAGGCTAGTCCAATCTCATCACATCTCAGAAGCTAGGCAGGGTCAGCCCTGGTTAGTACTGGGACGCAGGGGTCATTTCGTAGAAAAAGAGCTAGGGGAACTCATTAGCATAACATTAGCATATGCCACACCCCCTGACATCACCGGAAGTGTGTCATAAGGCCACACACCCTGGTGCAAGGAAGCCCCGCGAAGGCCCTCCCTGGCCCCAGGCAGACAGGGGTGGGGAGAGGCAGGGAGGAAGCAACTTACCCTCCCTCTTCTCCTGCCTCCTCCTGGCTCAATGAGGGCCGGAAGCGGGGTGGCCGAAAGCAGGGGGCGGGGCTTCGTCATGTTCCCTCACCCCGGGGGAACTACGATCCCCCACGTTCCCCCCCGAAATGACCTCTGCTCGGACGGGAGACCACCAAGGAAGTTGAGTTGCTCTGCAGAGGTAGGCAATGGGAAAACCACCCCAGTTTGTCTCTCGCCTTGTAAACCTTACAGGGTCGCCATAAGTTGGCTGTGACTTGACGGCACTTCCCCCTAAGGCAGTGGATGTTCTGAATAGGAGCTTGGTCATGAGATAAGCTGAGTATAATAAATTTGAGGCTGGCATTCAGCTGATGCAGGGTTGCACTTCTCTGAAATATCAGATTTGCAGCTCGGGAGTAATATTAGATCCTGCATTGTTCATGGATTCACTGGTGATACTCGTAGCTTGGAGAGCTGTCTACCACATGGATTGGTGTACTAACTGTGGCCACTTTTGGACAAACTTGCCACAGCTATCTATGTTTCAGTAATGTCCATGCTTGGTTACTATAATACGTTATCCATTGGTCTGCCATCTGTGGCAATTTCAGCTGATTCAGAATATAGTCATTAGGTGGCCAACAGGAATTCATTACAATGAGGACATTTATCAAGTGCTTGAAGATCTTCACTTGCTTTCAGTCTGTTTCTGGGCACGTTTCAATGTGCTTTAAAACCTTAAATGCCTGAGACCAATCTTAAGGGTGCTCTTCGATGTCATTGGATGTCTTTCTTCAGGTTCAATTGAGACAAATGATAACCAAGATCTAGTTCCGCATGTTCAAGGTGACTAGTTTCTTGAAAAACAGCTCTCTGTCCTAAATAGCAAACACACTTTTAAACTGACAAGAGTTTTCAAAAACGTTTGTGAGATAATATTCAAAATAAATTCAAGAGCAAATGTAGTGTAGTGGTTAAAGAGGGTGTTGGACCAGAGCGAACTGCCCATTTAACTTACAGGAAAGTTTGGCAGTGGGCCACTGCTGTATGGAGCCACTGGTGGCCAGAACCAAGCAGAGCCAAGCCCCAGCAATTCTGCCTGAGCCTCAAAGGGTCACTTGGCCCATACTCCTTATCAGCAGTGGCTCGCCAGCTGTCTCCTCCAGCACTGCTTCCAGTTTGGGGGATGGTGCAGTGGGTGGGCTCCTTAGCTAATGCCCCTTGTCAGCCCTGCTGCGCTGAGGGGCCCCACAGTGCTGGCTTGCTCTAGGGCCATTGTCACTCCCCAGTCCGTTCCTGTGTGGGACCAGGGCTGAGTCACTCAGATTCAAATCTCCATCCAACCCATAAAGTTCACTGGGTGACCCTGACTTTCTCTCAGCCTAACCCTATCTCATAGAGCTGTTACAAGGATAAAACTGAGGAGACAAAATGAAATCCAGGGAGGAAACCTGAAATAAAAATGTGATGTTGTTTGTATCAATGCCAGAAGGGATCTGCTGTTCAAAGTAAACAAACAGACAAAGTCTCAGTAGGTATGCCTGAGCTCTTAGACAAGCCTAAAATAACACTTTGGATCCCAGAAAATACTAACCAGAAAATACTAACTAATCTGGCCACCAGAATCCACACAGGTGTCAGCTATGCTGCCATGGGGGTGGGGAGCTGGTATTCTAATTGCCAGTGAATTCCTTCTGTGCTTCTTTGCTGCTGTAACACTTATCTATAAGTTCTGCAGATGGTGATGTTGATGTCTGGGTTTCTTGGGAACCGTGGGAGAGAGTTTGGTTCCCAGCTTCAGCGCTAAATGGCCGGAGCCCTTTCTCCCGCGCGGGGGAGTGTGGCTAATTGGCCAGGGCAGTGGGGTGTGTGCATACGAATACCCTATATCCTATTATGCCCCATGGGCAGCCGTCATTCTTAACAGTGCCTATGTTAATGCATCTATAGCTCTTCAATAAAGTATTACCTTTCCTGATAAGTGTGTACTACGTTGTTGACAACAGGCTATGCATTTATTTTTGTTGGGATACTATCATAATATTATGTTATTTTTAAGCAATGGATTCCCCAGTTCTAGTGATAAATTGGTGAAAATTCAAATTCTGGGAGTTCCAGGCCTTGAGTAGATTGACCATTTTATAAGTCAAATTGAAGACTTCTTGTAAATCTGCGGGATATAACCTACAAGTTACACCCTTCCTATGATCTTTAGCAAAGTGATAAGCTGCCAACATTTTAAGAGCTTTCAGTGCAAAAAGACTTTATAAATCACTCTCCCGCTGGACTACAAAACCGTGTGTCTTTTGTGCCAGGACTTCCTCCACTTGCTGAACTTGCTATGTGTGCACCAAATATGGACTTTGATGAAGAGAACTGTGAGTGCGTCTGTAAATGGAAGTGCACTGGCAATTTATTTCAGAACAAAGAGAATTGCAGCTGTTATTTGTGCACAGAGAATCAGGACAGCTGCTTTCAGAAACATAAGACATTTAATGCAGAAACATGCAGGTAAGCATTTCCTTGCATTTCAGCTCAAAAAAACAGCCTGCTCAGCCCCCACCAGGGTACCTGATGGATCCACTCCCACCTTGAGGTTCATGCTGAATAATGAGGTTTGAGTGAGGATAAAATAGACTCAATCAGCTAAACGTTTTGATTTTTTAAAAATTATTCCTCTACAGCAGAACCAAATGACTCAGGGTTTGCTACTAAAGATTAGTTTGCATCATTTTGGGATTCCCACTCTTTCTACCTAGCTTGCTTTGCCAACTGTGATGGGTCTAGTGTTAAGATAATGCTTGCCAACATAGTGGTGGGGCCTGGAGATCTCTCAGAATTACAGCTGATCTGCAGACCACAGAGATCATTTCCCCTGGGAGAAATGGCTGCTTTGGACGGTGGATTCTATGGCCTTATACCCCACAGAAGTCCCTGCCCAGGTTCTACCCCCAAATCTCTAGGAATTTCCCAACCCAGAGCTGGCAACCCTAGTTTAGGACAGGTAGTCTCACACAACCGTTTCTTCTAACCCTAGGGCTGCCAAATGCCCCCGGGGGGCAGATTTCCCCCCACTTTCGAGCCCTGATTTCCGCGCCCGCAGAATCGGGGCCCGGGGGAAACCCCACCCCCACGTGCACGTCACCCGGATGTGACGTCACACGCTGGGGCGGGGTCACAGCCATTTGAGGGGAAAACATAGAGTAGATGGCCAGGGATCCCCCGCCAAGAAGGTAAGGGAGATTTGGCAACCCTATCTAACCCCAAGAAAACTTTTGCTAGTCCTCTCATTCTGGACATTCAAAGGTTTCCTGGTCTTGTGAACGACTCAATGAGCATTTATACTGCAGGCCAGCAGGACTTGGGCAGGCATACCTCAGATTAATAGCATCACCTTTGTTCCCAGTGATTGTTTTTTCTCATCATCCTGGTGCAATTTTTCATGCATTTCCTGTACAACTATGCTTACTAATTTCTGGATGGTGGACTAACCAACACAAATGCAAAGCAAGGAACATGAAAAAATCACAGGAAAAAAAAAGGAAAACAACATTTGAAGTAAAGATACAATAGGCAAGATGAGAAACATCCCAGGATGTTATCACAGGATATTCTCACAGAACAATTAATCCTTTTTTCCCTGATGAGGCCACTTTCACATGAAGAAACTTCATGTTCAAACATCTGAGAAGTTAGGAATTCCATGATGGAGTTCCCAGCTATTTTCCGCTCTAAAAATCAGGTGTGTGGGAGTCCTAATTCAGACCAGGGCCAACACATGAAAGGGGGGGGGGGTTTAAAGCTTTCCACACCATGCCATTTTCCCAACCTGAAATAGCTCAAGGAAACCATACCAGTACTAATATGGGGGAGGTGGCAGGGGTGCTGTGAAGATGCAACAGGTTTGGATTACATGTTTTTAAAGAAGATCACTTCCAGTTCCTATTCTGTGATGTAGAATTGTTTACTTACCATGTCATCTTTTCTGTTGTCTTAAACAGTTGTGAAGACAAATGCCCATTCCAGGCCAGAACGTGCCCAACTGCTAGGCCAGCGTGTTCAAGGCACTGTCGCTGTCTCAGGGGGGGAAGAGGCCACCATGGGTCCCAAAGCAAAGAAAACCCTTGATCAAGCTTTCATTACCCTTGCACAAAACATGCACTCTCTGCTTTGCAAAGTAGGTGTCTTCTGCCACAAGTTATTCATCTGTAATAGCCATGGGATATGAGTGACATTACTAGTGAAAAAAAATCAAATTGGTATTCATTATGAAGAGGATGAATGGGTGTGCAAGGACATTACCATCTGGCTTCAGATGTCTGCTGCAACAGATTATCCTTGTTCTGCAAAGGGTCACTAAAAGGACCTATATCCATCACAGCTGACAGGGAAGAAACTGATATGCTTGTTGCCGGAGGACAGTCAACATCCAGCATTTTGAAAATGCAAAAGAAAATAGTTCTACATCGATGTTATTGAGCATATTTCTTTAGAGCAGGGGTCCCTAACCTTTTTGAGCCTGTGGGCATCTTTGGAATTCTGCCACAGGGTGGTGGGTGCAACCACAAAATGGCTGCTGCAGGAGGCGAAGCCAACCACCAAATATCAGGGAGTGAGGGTATGCACAACTCTTAATAGTAACTCCTCAACATTTCAGGCAGAAGCTGTGTTTAACAGGATGCCTTTTAAAGTGAACATATCATTTAAAACTATTTTCTTGAATACACACAGTTTCCCTTCAGTCGCACGCTGAAGATCCTTGGTGCTGTGGGGGCAACTGCTGCCAAAGCAATGTTTTTAAAAGTCTGCACAGCCAAATGGAAGTCCTGCTGGACAAAAGCCCTGCCCACTTCCTAAAAACACTTGGTGGGCCCCGGGAAAGGTGTTTGTGGGCACCACGGTGCCCTCATGCATCATGTTAGGAACCCCTGCTTTAGAGCAAACTTCCATCGCTTGTATCCATCATATGTTCAGCACTGAATTAGTTGATCTACTGTCCATTTTTATTATTTAGATTTATTGTAGAACTACTGTCTGATAATGTTCCATATTTAAAATGTATATAGGAAAATAAATGCATTGGGTTATTAATAAATGTATATTGCCATATGTCACTTGACATAAAATCTTAATCTCAGAGAAACTACAGTAAGGTTTTTAGTGTTCACCCCTTCCATAAACATGAAGCTCCACGAAGAAACATCTTATTTGGCACGGCTGGATTTATTCTCTCATTTGTTTTTTTTAAAAAAAGAGAGAAGCAAGTTTCTAGCATTCATTGCTTTGTGGAAAAACAAATTGTGCAAGCCTTGCATTCAAAAGGCTCTTCTGTCTCTGTGCCTCTGCGGGTAGCTTCACACATGTACATAAATTCCTTGATTGCTGTGCCCCTGATGACAACATCTGAATGGGTGAAGTGACTGCACTGAATAGTATTGTATTTGAAATAATATGAAGGGATTTGAAACTAAGATCGTTTGCTTGGTTTTATCAAGTTATAGTGTCCCTGATTATATGATCAGATTTTCACTTATCTGCCATATTCTCTTTATCTAAACAAGAGGAAATTTGGGGAGTGATCCTGGACCCAGCCCAATGCCCTCTAAGCTGTGGAGTCTTATGAGCAAAGATTCTTCTTTGTGAGCAACTGGCATTCAAGTTGTGAGCAAGCGATTTGGCTACGGCATCAATTAGTTTGCTCTGGAGCCATCCTTCCTGAGCTAAGACAGAAATGTGTGAGCCAGAGACTAAAAAACTGTGAGCTAGCTCACACTAACTCACCTTAGAGGGAACACTGACCCAGCCTTGCTTTTTGATGATCAAGTTGGCACCATTTCTGTGAGTGTTTTGTATCATTATCATCGTATATCTAATTCTGAACCAAGCCCCTGGAGAAAATGTATGCTTTGGAGGGTGCTTTCTATAACATTATATTTGACTGAGGCCTCTCCCCTCTTCAAATCCTGCCCACCTCAGACTCTACTCCAGAATCTCCAGGAATTTTCCAACCTGGAGCTGGCAACCCTAGACAGGCCTAGCCCCAATGATTTCTCCCTCAAAGGTAAAAATAGGACTAGAAAGGGCCCTGCCCCCTCCCCCTACATTTTTACTTATGGACTGAAGCCCGGAAAACTGTGATTGCCTAGCAACAGCCACTGAGGGAATCCATTGCTTTAAAGCTACATGCACTTCTTTTATCATTTTTGGATTTTTTTAAAGCTGCCCAGTGAGGGTTTTTTTAGATTTCACATTTTTCTGCAAATTTAGAGCCCTTTTCAGGTTGGTAGAAAGATCTGTCTTGCCTGTTGACTGCTCTAGTCACTGGATTTAAGTATCTAAAGATCTCCTGACTTCACTACTAGAATATAAGATTCTTCGGGTAATTTACAACCAGTACTCTCTCTAGGTGGATCTGTGGCTCGAAATGCATCAATTTCAAAAGTTTTTTTTTTTTTACTAGTTCAGCTATTTCAGTAGATAAATCACCATGGTAGTACCTCTTCACAGGTTTTGCCATAAATGTATTTATCGTATGGCATAAAGACTGAAGTGAAATCAGTGGTACATACTTTCTTTTAGTATTAAAATCAATGCAACGGAGTCTCTTCCTTGGGCATTTGAATGAGCCGAGGTGCTGTTAGAAGAACATGCAGTTTCATTGTACAAATCACACTGGTGCTTTAAAGGGGAGCAACAGAGCTAGCAAGGCCAATTAGATATAGCTCCTGTACCCTTCCCTTTGTCTGCTCTGTTGCTGCCTTTTGCATATCAAGAATGCTACTCTTAGGCCCCGTTCACACGGAGAAGTTGCCGCGCTAAAGACACGAATGTCAGGCAGATTTTCGGTGCACGATCACACCACAACATCTGGGAAGCGTAGCACACCCATGGCCAACCCGTGGCGTCCCGCCAAAGATGTGCAGTAAAAAAGTACCTCAGAAAGTGCACTAGTATCCAGAAAACGCGAGGCAGGGGCGGGCGTCTGATCGCGGGAGCACTAGTATCCCGTGGCATCTGGCGCCCATCCACGTCCCGTCACAAAAAAGATGTTTTTCGTAAGCACATGTGCACAAACACGTAACTGACAGCAGTTCTGCTATGCTGAACTGCACATGCACACAAACACGAAACACTTGCCGCGTTGCTTCTTTGCCATGGTCCAGCATCACCGTGCGAAGCCTCGGGGGACCGTTTGATTGGGCTACCGTGCTTTATTTTGCTCCAGGGCGAACAGTCACACATCCCCCTCCCGCGTTATCTGGCCCATGTGACCGGGGCCTTAGGGGATTTTCCTTCCAGCGAATCACCACCAATTCCTCCTGCTCCCTCCTTCCATCATGAGGGCAGGACATGCTCTCAGCAATCTTTTTCCATCCTGGTTTTGATAGCTAGCTAGAATTCTTTCTCTGACTTTCCCATCTTAGTATGGAGCTGTTCTACTATAAAGAATTTCTGTTTCTTTTCTAAAGCCATGAGCCTCTTGTGAACTTCATTCCTAATGCAGCTTTCCCTTTCAGCGGCACAAACCAAGCTACTCAGCTCTGCCCAGAGGTGCATATGAATCTGAGTGGAAATGTTAATTTAAATAATTTACTGAAAGTCACAAGCTTTCCAGTGTTTAGGATTTAATATTTTCCTATAGCCAGCATTAGTATAATTGAAAAATGATTCAGTTTAAATAAATGATGCTTTATTTGTCTAGAACTTTGACTTCAAACATGAGTTTTGTTGAGGTCCCTACAAGGCTTGCTTGGATTAATGCATGCAAATCACACGGTTAACTATCAATCTTTGTTAACTTCAGGAAGGCAATAATGGTATACATTCTTCTGGGCTCATTACAAAGCACTCTCCACTTAGAACATTAGGCAAGACAGATGGGATCTACAAATGATGCCCTGTCATCCATTTTACATGTCAGTCTCTTGCATTAGTATTCACTGAGAACACCAATAAAGGACTTAAATTGAAGAATCAAAACTGTTTTGAGCTGAAAGAGGAAAGGATATGATTTGTAGCCAATGATGCATGACTGGTATATTTAAAAGGGTGCAGCACAGAATCTGTATTACTTCTCCTCTTTGTTTTACCATGTATTATGCTAACCGTATCTCCAAATACATCCTAATATGGGTAGCCTTTCTCATTAATGGAGGAAATCTGCTAAAATTCAGTGTTAGCTTTGGGTAACCCAGATCCAAAGAAGATCTAATTATTTATCTAATTAGCACAGACTGTGTCCCTACATTAATCAAGGAACCTGTGGGGTATTTTTACATGGGTTATTCGCAGGGCATACCTTCTGTACCATCCAGACAGCTTTTTTACAATGAGAAACAAAAATATCTAGCTCTAGTTTCTCCCTCAGGAAGATCGGGGTGAATGAAATATCATGATGATAGCTTGGTTCTGGGTTAGACCCAAAATACTGAGGGTGAAATTAAATCCACAGAACAGAAGAAGAGTTGGGTTTTATACCCCACTTTTCTCTACCCTAAGGAGTCTCAAAGCGGGTTACAATCACCTCTTCCTTCCTCTCCCCACAGCAGACACCTGAGGTAAGTGGGGCTGAGACTGGACCAGTGTCACCCAGCAGCTTCATGTGGAGGAGTGGGGAATCAAACCTGGTTCTCCAGGTTAGAGTGCACTGCTCTTAACCACCACACCACCCTGGCTCTCAGGATTCTCATCCCACATTCTTCTACTGTAGCGTACCGAATCCCCTGAAATTTTACTCCTGAGGGACAGGAGACATTCATGAACTGGGGATTAATGTGGAGAGGGGGAACTGGCAAAATTTCCCATTAAAATAAGTGACTTGTGACTTTCAGTGCACTGGATGGTGTTGGCCCTGCTGTGTATTTGCTGATTCTGAGTCTGTAAATTTATCTTTGTTCCTCAGGGTCAGATTCTGATTTACTGGAGAGGTACTTTTGAATTCATGACTGAAAAGCAATCATGTTTGTTCTTATTATTTTCCATCACCTTTGTAAAATGACCTCAGTGTGTAAATAAGAGCCAGGTCTGCATTCCTCATAAAGTGCTTTGACATTTAGCCAAATGGTTATATTTCTCCACAAGGCTCCATTTTGATGGACTAGTATGACAAAAAGCAATTTGCAAAATGGTTTTCATGTTACAGCCATTAGGTGCCTTAAATTCATGCCAGAGTGGTAATGGGCTGTATTTTACAGTAAAACACAGAGAGGAAGTAACTTGCAACATATTACCATATACAAGCTAATCTCCTTTTAGTCTTAGGGGTAATTAACTGCCCATTTTCACTAATGTCCCTTTGAAGTAAATTGGTCTGGGCTACTGTAAGTAGCCAATAAACCTTTCCTTTCCTCTGGCACAACAAAATAATTATACAAGAGAACATTTATATTCCTATAGCTCCATCTACTGTTTATCATGACAGTATTCCTTTTATTAAAAATTTCCTAAAACACTATTTTAGCTGTAGGAAATAAAAAGCAATTTCTTTAGCAGCCCCCCCCCCCAATGTTCTGGGGTCTAAATACTTCATACTTCTCATTCATCAGTTCTGGTTCTAGTGCAGGAACAGGAAGCTACATGGTACGATGCCATTTCTTCCCATGGACCAAACATTTTATTTAATTGCATTTTAAAGGAAATTGTTATCTAACCATTTTTGAGGTAACTTTACATTCTCTCCAATATTCTGAATTTTAGTTGAAGAGTTTGTGAATCTCAGTCCATTTTGGTGCCACCCTTGTTGCACATTTATTTATTAACCTGTGGCTTGTGATTGTTCTTAGTGCTGAGAATCTGTCCTCTTGGTATTGAGCAACTATGCAGCCATGGAAGCCAGATGCAATAGCAACAGCATAAGACATACAATAAGCACTCTAATAAGATTGGATTACAAAGTTAGAGAACACTGCAATAAAAACAGTAGGAGACATAAGAAATGCAAAAACTGGATCACAGCAATCATATATATATACATATGCTGTGATCCAGTTTTCACATTTCTTGTATTGGCACTTTCTGGCTCTCCCATTGGCTGTGCTGTGTGCTTCGTCAGCCATTGGCTCATCAACTGCCACTCAAGAGCAATGCTCCGTCTAAGCTGTAGAGTCTTGTGAGAAAAAAAATTACTTTGTGAGCTATTGGCATTAAAGTTGTGAGTGGGTGATTTGGTTACTGCATAAATTAGTTTGA